TTCTAGAATATACCTTGGTGTTAGTATGTATAATGTTAGTGGGTACCTGGTGGTTTTTGACCCTTGAAAATGATAGTTTCAATGAGTTTCATACACTTTCACATCCATTCACGGTCTTCCAATGTCTTCCATGTCACGTCGAGTAGCAATGGGCTGCTTCAGCTGCAACGTGAGCTGGGACCCCGAGTGGAATCGACCACCAGGGGCCCATCTCGACAAAGCGGAGATCGGTCTCTGGCACCTGACAATGCTGGGGACATGATAGGAACCAGTTACTGGGGAATATATTGACCAATGATATCCATGAGGTGTTCAATTATTATTACATATTATTACTGAGTACTGTATATCATTCTAGAAACATACATACATGGATATATATATATGTATACATCCAACAATCAACGGGATCATATTCCCAAACAAGAGGGGAAAATGGAAAAGAGCTGCAACCACCAGTACCAAGTTTGCCTGGCCGTATGACGAATCATGCTGGCGATGCAGCACAGAGTCCAATCCAAGCGAGGGAAAAGTCTGCAACGAAGCTTGAAAAGGTTGGATGATCATGATTGAGGTTGTGGTTCAATTCTTTCATGTCAGTTTTGAGATGTATCTGATGATAGGCGGTCTGGATTGCAAAAGAATAGCAGTGGCAGCCGCAGCCCTGTTTGCTTTTGAGCTTTGCAGCTAAAAATGGCAAAAAGCAAACAACGGATGCTTACCAGGCTTTCTTGGCCTTGCTTTGGATGTGTGCTTTTTCATCTCGGTGTTTTGGAAGGATGCTAGTCTTCATGGTACAGCTTTGTTATTCATCTCTGAAAAGCCAATGGCTGCTGCGCAGCGGAGCAGCAACGGATGTATGGGATCATGTTCAACTGTAAGCCTAAGTCTGACTGACCAAACGGAACGCTGTGTCATCCATTAGGGGATTCAAGTGGTGAACTGGTTGGTGGTGAACTAGTTACTAGTTGAGTAAGTAGCAAAATGACCAACACCTGCGGGTGGTCCTCCAATTTGGTCATGAATCCCAATTTACTGCCATCAAAATCATCAAATAATCAGGAAAATATTGCAAATGATGGAGAAAATGACTTCAAACCACTGGATTTGGGTGGTTTTCCATGGTTGTCCTGTAAAAAAATTGGGAATTTTAATGATGAATTGCTGGATCTGCTGGGTTTTCCCATGATTTTCGCTGAGTGCCCCAACAACTTCCACCACCAGGTGTCACAGCTGCGCTGGCAGTGCCCCCCGGGTTTCCGCGGTTGAAGCCTGGCGCCGATTTTTCTGGGGATCTTCATGGGTAAAATCCCAGGAAACTATAGATGATTAGTTGACTATTATGGGTTAATCCTAGGAATTACCATCAAAATGGGTAAATCGTACTGGGTAAAATCCCATGATATTAGTAAGAGTGCCCATCGATAGACTATATAGATGATTTACCTATGAACCACGGTGACTTTCCATAGCTACCTTTGGTTTCGAGGGGAACTCATGAATTCTTAGCTTCATTTCCCAAAGTCGGATCGATCAATTACGGACATCCTAGTCAATGGCATTTCAAAGTCCAATGAAATCGCCATTCACACCAACCTGCGAAGGAAGTCAAAGACTGGCGACATCAACCATATGGGTGTCTGAAAATGGAGCAATCCCCAAAAATGACGCAAATTTAACGCGGAAAATGATGATGAAACACTGCACAAAGCCATCTGATCAGCTTTGGCAGGAGGAAGGAATTCTGGGAGGCCGGCTAGACGTGGCTGCTCCAGGTTCAGGTAGACTGGGCGGGACGGCTGTACCAGCCTCCAGTAGCCAAATAGTAGGACAACCCCGCCTCCGAGATCTTGCTTATCAGCTCTGATTTAGGGTCTTCAGTCTACACATTTGTTTCACTCTGTATGTAACCTCCAAAAAAAGATAGACCAGTCATCTACCAGAAATTCACGTTTACTTTTCTATCTGTTCTATCTTTTGGGGGGATCCAAATTTACATACAATTGACTGTCTCAAGGATTGCAGAACCTCAGGCGCTAAAAGCTTGACCGCAATCTGCTGGATTCTGCTGGCCTCCATTTCCAAGGGGCCTCCTGCAGTGTCAGCAGTGTCTGATCACTCATCCAGCCATACTCAGAGAACCCCTCAAAAGATTCTAGTAAAACCCCCAACACTCCTCCCAAATATCATTACAGAAGCACGATTATAGCAGTAACTCCCCCCAAGTAATCAGCTCCATGGCTGGAAAATCCTCCATTCATAGATGATTTTCATTGATTTTCCCAGCTATAGACCTCCATTGAGAAGGGATTTTCCACTGCTCTCCTGGAAGTGGTGCATAGGCATCCTTGAGCCGCTCATGGAAGTCGCGCCGAGGCTCTCGGTACCTGACATTGCTCTCGGGTGTGCCCAAGGCTGCAATGGTGATGTTCATGGGTCAAAATTGTTTTTTTACTGACATTTGGATGGTCAAAACTATGTATGTATGTATGTGTGTGTGTATGTGTAAACATAATTGAATAGATATATGTATGTATTATATATATATTATATATATTATATATTATATATATATATTATATATATAAATAAATGCAGTGCATGTAATTACCCAAAAAAATGAATTGTTTGAAATTGTTTGAGAGTTTAAAGCTACAAAATATGACCAATGTTGGGGAAAATGGTATCCCAACTCTAAGCCACACCCTGGTGATCATCCACGAATTCTCCGCTCTCCAATGACCCGCCTTTGACTCTGAGCCGTGCTGGACCGAGGCGTCACAGGTAGACTCCTGTGGCCAGGCATGTCGTGCACTGTTTCGAAATACATTGATCTGGGATGATCTGGGTCGAAGCCTGAACATCTGACAAAATTAGGTGATGGTGGTGATGGTGGTGATGGTGGTGATGGTGGTGGTGGTGGTAGTGGTCGTGGTGGTGATGGAGGAGGGCGGTCCGGTGCTGACGGTAACGTGACGGTGATGGTGACGGTGATGGCGATGAAGAAGAAGAAGAACCAGAAGAACCAGAAGAAGACAACGACGACGATGACGAGGAGGAGGAGGAGCCTCAACCTCGTCAACCTTCTCAACTACATGTCGGCATGATGTTTGGATGTTCAGGAACCATCAGTGACCTAGTTCAACGGGGGCATGCCCATGGCCGTCCTGGGTCGCCTTGAGCTGCAAGGTGAAGGAGTCCGGGACCTGCGAAGTGGGTATCAACTCGTACCCCGCTGGGACTCCTACTGTCCGTACAGTGGATGTCCCAGGATAGGAAATATCGGAAAACATGAAACCCATTGAAACCCCATAGCTATGCCATAGCAAATCTTACTCCTGGTAGTTCAAGTCGTTTGCAAAGCTTTCATACAGCACAGGCCTTGCTGGACCCTGGATCTCACCCGCACCTAGCCAGGGGTGCAGTTCGAATGGAGCTCCTCGGAGAGAACCTGACACCAAGCGAGTGCTACACAAAGTGGAAGCAGATGGAAGCAATCAAAATCCAAAATCATCAAAACCACTGTGTTTGCTGCGGCAAATCAAACCATGGATGTTGGGACGCGCCACACGAAGAATCTGAGACCATCTACAGTGAAAGACTAGACCGTTTCATCGATGCTGAATGTCGTGTCAGCACATGCCTTAGGGAATCCCCAATGTCTCGAAAGTTAGGTTCCAGCTTCAGCGTGTTATCCTGCGCATGCGATGCGACATGAGAGTCGTGCAAAGTATTGGAAAGTTGGAATGAAACTGGCTCATCTGCAACCTCCGTCAAAACTCACTCACGTCTGGGTATGGTTCAAAACTGAGCTTCCAACCCTGCAAGTTTGGTCATGTTCAATGTTGAACTTTCCGTTTTGGGAGGTTTAAACCATACTCAAGTATGGTATTATGCACACCCAAAAAATATTGTGGTTTTACATGTTTTTGTATGTTTTTGTGCGTTATTTAACCATCACTTTGGATGGTTTATGCAGTTTATATATGCCCATCTGAAACAACCATGGCATGACTGCCCGCTTTTCCACGCAATCGATGGTGCGAGGTCAGGCGCAGAAGTCAGAGCCACCGCGCACGAAAGCGCCAAGAACGGGACCGTAGCTGCCTCCAAACATCAACGATGTCGGCTGATATCACGGTCAGCGATGTTTCTTTGTGTCTGTTTCTGTGTGTGTGTGGGGCCAAAAATGTCAAAAATTGTGGGAATGTTTAAGAATGTGTTGGATTGTTTCGGAATGTCTCAAGATGTTCCAAGCACATCATGCACATCTGTGTCTCAACGAAGCGTGCCGGGGAAGTTGAGAGGTCCCCGTTTCTTGTGGACAAAAAATGGGCAATCTCTGGAGGATGATCTGCTGAATCCGCAGCTTTTTTACTCTTTTTAGAGCAGTCCGCAACATCACAAGGACCGAGATATTTTGAGGCATTAACCCACGGACCCTCTTTTAGGGCAAGATGCCGACATCTGCTGAATCAAAAGCTTGTCAGCAAGTGTGTAGCGCTGGAACATCTCTTGTGGATTCTGGTGTTTTTTTTCAATAGAAAGCAGTATGCCAGAGGAGATCTCACCTCACATTTTGCACAAATGTGGTCCGCCTAGCCTGCTACCATGCAATGAATATCATTTATCTCGTGTGGAACGCCTGCAATGCCTAGGATTTAAGGCTTGCAGCCACGGTGACACGACGGCTCTCCGAAGACCCGAGGTTTGGTGGCCTCTCAGTAGCATTCCAAAGGCGCCCAATTCCTGGGTGGTTTTCAAAGACGGTCACATGCATAGTGACTACTATGGCATAGTGGGTTGAAACATGTTGAAACATGTTGAAACTGTGGTACCCCCTGGTGAACAGAAAAATATACAAAAATATCAAACTAGCATAGCTGGATGTTCATCCCCCCAGATGTAGTATTATGATGTATTATGATAGATTCTCATCATTTCTCATCCATCTCCACGTTGAGAGCTGGGAGCAAAAGGCCCCGAAGTCCCTAAGTGATCTAAGTGCATTCTAGTCTCAGCTGGCGATCATGACCTGACACTCTTGACAGGATGGGCGTGGGTAAGAACAAACAAGGTAACTCTGGTGAACATGCTGAAAATCGTCATCAGCATAGAACTAGAATGTTGAGTCATGTTGAGTCAATATACTGTAATTGTCTGTAACTTTGCTGCCAATGGGTGTTTGGTAGCTTTGATCCACAGTCAGATTATGTCAGATTGTGCCAACTGAAAAGAAACCATGGTGCCATGGAAGCAAATCCCGGGAGCCTTCGTGCAAGGCCTTTCCATTGTGCTTCACGATCTTGGGACCCCTGGCCTGAACACCGTCCGCAGCCACACCGAAGCTGGCTGCAACGTTGGAACCACACCGGGCACCGGACCAATGGTGCTGGGCGCATCTTCTCCACAAGACGATCCAAAGCCTCCGAAGTCGGCGCATCTGCATGAGAAGCCGGGCGGATGTGTGTGTGTGGGTTGACAGAACTTCCGTACAATACACATTAACAATCATTAACATATAGTATACACATGTATACACATAATGTATGCACCTGTGTAATATTACACTTTTTTCGTGAAGCATTGTTGTCTCACATCCAGGACTTGCCTTTCGATGGTCTTCGTTCTGGCGCATGAGCGTCACCTGACATGTCACATGGGCCTGTAACTGCCTGAAAACCGGTGGATTTGTTCAACACTCCACTGTGTCAGTTTGGGTACAATTTTGATGGGCAAAACCAAACATATCATATCATAACACTTCTCACTAGCACTAAACTCTAAACTAGTTAGCACGCACGCGCACACACACACAGGGGTTGCTGTAGCAAGATCCTAACCCAACCCAGCCTGAGCGTATGCCTGCTTGTGCTCAGCATCCACCTCCATTCTCTCCATGAAATTCATGGTGCTGCGCTTTCGCCGCGCCTGCACGACATCATCTTTAACAAAACATGCAGGAAGGGCACCACATCTGGTCCCATAAGATCCTGCTGAAATCTCTACCAACAGGAAACTCAGCCAGCACTGAAGATGGATCAGCATCCGGTACTCAAAATGAGAAACCTCATGAACCTTGCTGGGTCGAAACCTCATGTTTCCTAGTTCATACTAGCATGAGTCGATCCTCACATCTACCAAATCCCAGTTTTTGCCGGTGAATATATCCAGATTTTAGGTGACCCACACCCGTATTTATATAACCACCAACGAATGTCAGCTTCTATATATCCAAAATTTAAATGACTAACAACACCAGTAGTGACTCCCTACCAAAAAAATGATTAGTATATGATTAGTAAATATCTCTATTTGTAGCAAAAAGATTGAAGTAGCGAGGTACCCATTCCAGGTTAAGATTTCACCACCAACCCAGGGAGTCAACTGGCCATCTGCTGACCTCAATGAGTTGCTTCTTCTCATAGAGGGCTGTGAAACCTGCGCCACCGCCCGTTTTGGGCGTGCAGGCCACCTAGGTGGCAAGCGCCAACCCGACACACGTAACGGTCATGGCGAACCAACCAAAACATACCAAAACCATGTTGGGATTCTTGGTAGCTCCAAACTTTGATGTTAAAAATATATAGATGACATAGATGGAAAAATAGAAGTCACCTGTTAATTATGGAAGCTCATTATACTTTGATTCTGATACTTTCGTTGTGGGGCCACTGGATGGAACCGGCAGTTTCCACCACGTGTCGACCAGATCTGAGTTTCTGGCATAGGCTGTCAGATTGGCTTGGCGAACAGGATCCATCCCGAGACTGGCAGAGTATGGCTAGCTGAGGCAGCTGAGGAATGGTGGAAGCGGGTGGACAGATCAAGCTACGAGTACTGTGGACGGTTCCTGCGGCTGCGACTAACGAAACCAAAATCAGCCGGTTGGGAGCATGTCACATTTTTTTCCGCCAGCTTTTGAAAACAGCTTGGGCTTGGGTAAAAGTGGCTACGGTTGTGCTTCCCTTGCCACAGGCCACAGCTGACACTGGCACTACTTGGGTCTGATGGCCTTCAGAAGAAAACGGTACAGAAAAAGGGAAAAAAACTCCAAAGGCAACCTGCACAGCCTGCACAGCCCAGCCTCCAAAGGCCCTCTGGTCAAACGGAAGTGACTCGCGCAAGCTGACTCTATTGAGCCGAAGATGGCATGTCGCAACATCCGGCTGGTGCTGCTTGACCAATGATGTCATATATATGGAGCTTGCGTAAAATGGGGGGGTATCCCAATGTGGATGGTTTTTATACTGGAAAATCCGATTAAAAATTGTTGATTTAGGGGTCCGCCATTCTAGGAAACCTCCATATATAATATTAATAATTAATATCTGCTTTGTGTTCTGACCATCTCCCTACGGAAGCCCAATCGCTCCCAGCCTGTGTTGGCTGAATCATCATCCCATTCTGCATCAGCGTCGATCTGACGGGCGTAGTTCGCCACATACCTGGGCTGTTTGGAGCTGAGCCACGATATAAACACATTCCCATTCCATTGCTTTGGCTGGATAATTGGTATTGCTATTATAGGTTGTAGTATGTTATAGTATGTTACGGCGCTTTTGTTGTAACATAGTATGTTGTAGAATGCTGTAGTTTGTGATAGTATGTTAACGTTCCATATCTCAACCCCTCTTTCAATCCTCTTAAACTAGATGGTATATTTGTGTAAATTTCACTATAGCTATAACAACCAACCAGCAGTTGGGTATGTTCATGGTTCAGCCAAACATCTCCAAACTCAACATCTGAGCGGCTTGCCGCTGAGCTACCATGACTCATCGCTAAAGACTTGAAGGCAGGGTGAAGCTTCCATGGCCACGCGAGTCAAGTGCCTTCGCGGTGAAGTTACACACCCCCGCAATTGATTCCATACTGCCGTGAAATCCTTGCGACCAAGTGATTTCTGGGAGTAATATTCCAAATTCCACAAAAAGATCCAAGGAAAAGATCCCAGCAGTCAAGGTGAGTCAAGGTGATTGTTAGATCCAAAGTATTCTGTTGCACCTGCCATCTTCGTCTCGATAGCGTCTGTCCAGTCTGGGCACGTCGTGGATTGCAGCTACTCGGAGCCCTGGAAAACGTCGGAGAGCGTCCTGGCGCAAAAAATGCTGGGAGTTTGCGGGTGGATTATGAATGCAGCAGGCTCTCTTAAGTGAAACCCTGCGAAACTGGAACCAATTGCAAAATGATACCCCTGGTTCGGAATGCAACCCTCATGTGTTCCTTGCCCTGGTCTGTGGTCCTCGGCCATTCTCACCGCCACACGGCCTTTTGGGCCATCCAGTAGCAGAGCCACAGAGTGATTCTGCGCTCCCACAGAGTGTAAAGCCTGGCGAAACAGGGATTGGCAGATGTCCCATTCCAAGCGGATGTTCGACGCCTCCAAGTGTTTGAGAAGATCCCTTTGGGTGATACTAGGACTAGGAGATGTCATATCGTTTCACTACCCTTGTGAAATCAAGGAGTCTTCCCTCTTTGGTTCCTGACAGTTTGGCATGTCATTAAGTCAAGCAGCCCAGTCAAGAGCTGCAAATGCATCACCTGATCTCCTCAGGATTGAGAGGCATCAATAGGGGATCCTACCAATCCAAAATATCACAATTCAACTCCAGAACTAGAGGTGGTTCGTTCAGTTACGTTCAATTACATGGGTTTGTCTGAGAAGCGGGTACCAACAATCCAGCCAACTTAATCATGTTTCCAGATAGTGATCTAGGAATTCATGGATTTATGTATTTATGGTGATCCCTAGTTAATCCAATCACACATATACATATACATATATATATATATATACATGTACGTATACATGCGTCATCAATGTAGTGTGTGTGTGTGCGGCGTTGTATCTCTGCATGACTATAACTATACATATATGTCATGCATTATCATAATATTAGATATATTGGACATGTGATCTCATTATAATCTGTGCGCATTGTCTGATGGAAACCACTCCAAGCCGTTGTGGCCCAAGTCTCATCTCCAGTACCCCCTGACACGCTGGTGCCAAGTCTGCGGCCACCGAGTCTTTCAGCGCCCGCTCCAAGGCCAACACGCGCCTCGAAAAGTGGTCAGTTCTTGGTGGTTTCAACCCATCCAAACCATGTTTATAAATACAAAGCATAATATATAATAATCCCATATAATATATAATAATATATAATACATATATGTTATATATATATGGTATGCAGCCACTTGGGATCATCAAGCCAGGCGGAATGAAAAAGAACATACGATGTAAAACTAGCAACCAATAGCCATTGCTCTTCTTCGAGTTTATCTTGCTGCTACATGAAGCTGATAAAGCCAACACAACATGCACTACATGCAAGGACGGACTCTAAAATCCAGGGCCTTTCTCATGCTCTAGTACGGGGAGGGAGATGGAGAGAGTATTATTCTAATGCTACTCTACAGGCACAAAATACCAGTACCAAGCCCATTCCATGCCGGCCCCACAGGCCTTCCGGGCACAGCACGTGCCCATGCACAGGCTGCACGAGTGGAGCCGCCATTGCCCACGCCAGACTCCACGATAACCTGCACACCTGGGGGACTCTCCGCCCAACCCTCCACCATAACCATCCGGGACCATCCATAAGTCCTTCCATACGTATCATTCCATCCTAGTCCTGTCCCCATCCCAACTCCTCATCCCCCATATTATGATTGTTATGTGACGTGTGTATATTATATATATATAATTATACTGTATATATTATATAATATTATATATATATAATTATATATAATTATAATATACATACATTGACACATTGATGTATATACAAATCAAATCCTCCGTCTCTGCACCGCCATCCCAACTCCCAACTCTACTCCAGCACCTTGGAGATCCGCCAGGCTATGAAACAGAAAGGCCTCCGAAGGCAGCACGGAACCCCGAAGGCCCAGCAATGGTCGCGTCCTTCGCCACGCCTCCGACAGAGGTGTCAGAGCCAGTTGCTGTCGGAGCAACGCCCGCAGCTTCACCTGGGATGGGTTCAAAGATGAAAGGGCCGGAATTTAGCTGCTTTTAGCATCTTTTAGCTGGTCACAAAACAGACTTTGGGAAGCAAGGAGCACTTAAGACTTCAGAGATCTTAAGAGTGCTTGCTGGAGAGGGTCATTCCCAAAGAACAGGGACATTCTTCGATTGGGAAGCCACATTTTTTCACCCAGGTATTATCAATTGCTAACGATGTGTCCTTCGAAATAGTCAACAGAGAAGTGCTTTTGCACATGGTTTACCAATGTTTACCATCAACATCAATGGGTAGCCAGGGGGATCTTCCAATATCCTGGCCCTTTCGACATGTCACCAGGTCATCCACGGGATGTCTGAAAGATGAGCTCCTTGATGCCATGGCCATGGCTGGAGCCGTGAAGGCCGCCGTTTCCAGCAACGCCAAGGCTTCGCAGCTGGGCCAGCTATGGGACAGGAACTCCAAGAGACCTGTAGGTCGAGATCCTTGCGAATGTCATGGCGGACATCGTTCGGAAATCCCCAAAGTATGGCAATGTCTTCTATGGCAATCTATGGCAATCTATGGCAACTTATCCAAAATTTTGACCTGAATTGACAGGAAACTGGTGGATAAACCATGGGAGTTGGGGGCTCCAATTTTCAGACCCCAGATCTGATGAGGGTAGAAGTCAGACTGACGCAGCTGTACTCAGCAGATGGAAGTAGAACAACGTAGAACTTCGTATCAAACAAGGGAGCCTATAGATATCCACACAAAAGAAAAAAAAACATAGGATTTTGAGTGCTGAGTTTCGACCCATACCATTGGCCCCTTGCCAAGAAAAGAATGACGGTGCCACAGCATCCATATATACTCGCGTCCCATCTCGTCCCGAAAAGTGCCTCCATACTTGTGGCCTACTTATGACCATATATATCCATATATCATATCTGCACAGACATGCACTGTAATATACACGCATACACAGCATAACACGGCGTGCATATGTCAATCCTCTAGACTCATTTCAACGGACTCTGACTCTCAGCTGAGGGACGGCTCCTTTCAGAGCGCAAGTGTCGGTTCCAGGTCTTCTCGACATCGTGTAAGTATAGATATTGAAATCGAGGCACCTCAGAAGCAAATAGTCTGTGGTTTTCACGCTACCTGGACATAATAGCTGCTGTTCCCAACATCTGTTACATAGCATGAAATCGCAACAAAAAAGGAGTGGTCCAGTCTCATCATGGTTCACCCTTGCAGCCAGCATGCCTCGGAAGCAGCGGCTCTAGCTGCGCTGGCAGCAGCTGAAAGTGAACGCCGCGAACGCACTGTTTGGTGCTTTCCTGACCACGATGGAGCGAGTTGATCTCAGCGAAGAGAGAAACCTCTTCAAATAAAAAATCAAAATCAAGATAGAGAGCAGTATTTGTTCTTGACTCAAGATGGGGTTTCGTTAAACGGATGTCTTATCTATCAAGAAACCCATCAAATCGATAGTCAACACTCGAAAGGGCACCGAGTCCCAAGTTCAAGTGCCGACCAACCGAGTCCCATTTCGATAACCCTCCTTTGAGGAGACGGGAAATGTCCGCTTTTCTTGACCCCTGTTGGCTGGTTGATATTCCCATTTATTGATATTTATTGAAGATACATCTTGTAATTCTAGAAGATATCACCAACCGAACCCCTTTATATAACTTTAAATCACCATCCAAACCATCCAGGACCTTAAAATCACCACAAACAAATAGCAGCAACCAAGAGAAACCTAGAAAAAGCAAGTACAAATCCATCCAAAACCTTCAAATCACCGACCAAAAATTACCCAAAAGTCACCATCACACTGCCCCTGCCGCCCCTGGCCTGCAGGAATCGGCAATGGTCGCCGTTTCCCGGGCATCCACGCACCAAGCCGCGGCGATGCCCGGAGGATCTCAGGCTCTGGGGGAGGAGGACCCACCTGCCGAACTTCGAAATGGCCATCATTTGTTCAGACAAAGACACAAAGTGCTACTTTGGTGATCTGAAAACATGATGTTCTGGGTCATGTTCGTGTTGCTTTTAAAGTATTTTAAAGTCTCTGGATATCTCAAGTACTTGTTGCCTTGCCCACTGACAGCTGAGTTTGGACACAAAGACACCGAGAATAATAAGGCCTTCGGCGTCGAACGCCAAGCTGCTTCAACTCTCTTACCCCAACTGCTTCGTCGTTCACCATCCGCAACCTGCACACAGCAACATGAGAGCACCACAAGAACGGCAAGTGGGATTCTGGGACCATTGTAATATTGTGCATGAAAATGCTACTCAAGGGGGATTTGGGATAGTTATGATGTAAAACTACAAAACGGAGGATTTGACTGTGGTATATTATATACGAGGATATTATGACTAGAATATATGGCTTAACTCGAGAACGGGATGGCTTAAAACCAATCGACATTGCCAAAATCTCAAGATTGGGATGCCAAAAGATTGAACTTTGGACAACATCCTGCTCTCTTGCCACTCTTGCCTGCATGCCGCGACGTAGCAAAGCCAGAAGGGAAAAAAGTGGCCAACCAGATTCGATAATGCCTGTGACGTGGCAACTTTGCACCACTTCTGTCACTTCAGCCAAAAGGGTTTCGCCATTCTCCTGCGAACTGTCCACGTTGCCGAAAACCCAAGATGTCTAGAAGATTTTACTCGTGTTGAACGTACAATAAATACACTGTGGCTTACATCATTGTGATACCGGTATCTACATAGCTATATATAAACGCGTATCATACTGTACGTATAGGATTTGTTCTCACTATAAATCAATACTCGTGGAGTTCCTCATCACAGGACAAGCTAAATTCTGCTTGGAGTTTCACCCAGCTGTCGTCCTTAAGGGCTTGCTGCCTTTCATGGGATCCCATGCCACACAGCAAAAACAGCCGCAGTGCCAGCTGAGCCAATTGACACCCAGCTTCGGACCTTGCGGACGCCAGCGGACGCTAGACGCCAGCGGACATGTTGGGGTGGATGGGATGTGCCAGTTGTGAATCAACTGAAGTTGGTTTGGACAAAAATACTATGAAAATGCTTTGAAGAATTGGAAAATTGCCAAATTCTGTGAGTCGAACGCCTTTGACGTGTTTGACTTTGACCCCAAAGGGGATCTCTGCCATTTTTTCAGCGTTTTTCCAAGTGGTTTCGCTCCACCTTCCAGTGCCTTCCAGCCTCAGTGCTTGCAGGGCCCACTCGGCAGCCGGCATCACATCTTGGGGTTTGATCTCCAGTTCAGCAAGGCCAGGCCAAAACGACCAGACGCGCAAGGCCCATCTCACCTTGCCGCTGGTGCTGACGGCTGTCGCCACCCATGGCAGCAAATACATCAAGTCTGGTTACCCATATAGGAGTTCCAGGCAGAAAGCTTGCATTCAATGTGAGACTCCTGTTGAAAACATTTGAAAACTCTGTGAAAGTAGTGATTTCAACAAGTCCGCAGGATTTTCGGGATTTGGGATAATAAAAACAGCCACCACCCAGAAAACAGTTGCAGATTTCCCTGTTTCTACTTTGACTGAAAAAATATGAAAAAATGCCGCGCCTTAGCCCAATCCTGGAGAGCATCACAGCTTAACCGCAAGGGACGACAATGCAAGCAGCAAGCGAGACATTGGTAAACGCCAATATTCAAACAGGAACGGCAAAGCCGGATTCCGGAAACGATCGCGAAATTGTTGTTTTAACAAAATTAAAGATGTCAAAATTAAAGGACGGAAAATGATCTCGATCATATCTCACGATGTTGTTGCAAGACCAGAAGTTATGCCATTACTGCTATGGACATATCATACATGGACCATGTCTTCGGGAATAAACAGAATAAACACAAGAATTTAACGGCCTTCAAGCTGAAAGCCGATGCTGTGATAAGCTCCGGATCCACTTGTGCGATATGCTTGCTGATAAGTTTTGAGGCAAGCTATGCTGTGGCACACTGACAAACTCAGCTCGCTCTGTGATGTCCATTTGACCAATTGATTACTGCAACATCTCAAGGCCACTAGAGTTCATGTCAACAGTCCGCACTCAAGCAAGGCATTCAATGGCTGCCGCATCAAGGGGGGGAAGCGTACACTGATGGTTGAGCAGCAGTTCCTCGAATCAGGTGGAAAATGTCTCCCAAACAAGGCATGAATTCGATCTCTCAATCAGATCGATTGCTCTCTCTCTCTCTCCACTATGCATGCAAGCACAACCAAAGCCATGCAATCTGTGTTCAATGCAACCAAGAAGCGGAATCTTCAAGGATTTGGAGATGTAGATGCCACCACTGAGGCGAAAGCAGGCGTGAAATGTTTGAAACCCAATCAACGCTGCAATGTTCAAATTTCACTGCTTTGCTCTGTTTCTTTCGGCATAAACACTCACTGCTTGGCTCAGTCAAATCAAAGTCATCAACGTCATCCGAAGCCCTGCTAGGATGCAAATCAAAACGTTTCCTCAAAATGGTCGGATGATACCTCAAAATCCTGGTAAAAATGACTGTGGGTAAAACAATGTCATGTTTACCATCCCCCAGTCATCACCATGTTGATAGGTGATATGTTTAAACTGTGTTCCATTCCCAAATAGGTGATTTACTATTGTTTTACCCACATGATAAACAGTGATTTCCAGTAAATGCTTCAGCTTCGCGCTGGCGTTTGGACGCAACGCTGCCACAGCGGCTGAAGGTGGACACTACCTGGCTGGACCCCTGGTCATCCAACCAGAATGGGATTCCAACCATTAACTCAAGGGGTGAAAAGAAACCCGTCCATAAATATATAATATATATATATACGCATATATCAAGAACCCATCTATCCATGATTTTTTGTATCAGATTATTGTGGCAACTATAGGTTTATTAAACCATCTATACTATTTCTCATCTAGATCATACTGTGAATGGGATTCCTGATGTTTAAAAAAATGGTATGCGAACCCATCTATCATCAATGGGGGATGGCCATCCCCCAATAGGCGTCTGTAATTCAACTTCTGACCATGGCACAACTGAGTCTTTTAGAAATAGATGGAACCACCACTGGATTGAAGATCATGTGGTAAACCCAATGCCACAAAACTCTAATTTGGGGATGGTTTGCTTATATTATATACCATATTTCCGGTGAAATTAGGGATAGTTGATTCTTGGGTGCATCACATTACTGAAAAATACTGAAAATATATCCTCAATTGGTTCACAATGACTTCGACTGTGGATGACTGTTGCTTCCCATTGAGCAGATCCCGATGACACCCGTGACCTCCCCAAACGTAATGGAACTCTTCTGCGGGAAGCCTTCTTTATCTCGAGCCTTGGCGCCACACTATCGTTTTTCGCCAAAGGAAACCGATTTGATCTCATTGTTTCTTCTCATTTTTCCGGGATTTAATGGCTCTACAAAATGGGGTATTCTCAATTTTGAGCCTAACCCGTCTACAAATCAATGCACTTGTGGAGCGTGTCTGCTGAACCATTGATAGGGGCTGGCATTGAGCGTCTCCCCATTTTGCTAGCAAGGATTTCGAGTCGGTGGTTTCAACCCTGTCAAGAAATACGAATCACTTGGGATCGATATCTCAAATTGGATTGGCAATATTAAAAGTTTTACGTACGTATGTTTCAAAAAATGTATGGAAGTGTACTTAAAATAATTTCACATACACATAAATATCCCGCCGGGTCGGGAATGGAACGTGTAGGCGTTAGCAAGTCACTTCTCGGCACTTATGACCAACACTGGGATTTACCAGTGATTTTGCCTCTGACGATGATGCAAAATGCAAAATCCTGGTTGTGTTTTCGTTTTTTTGTTTTTTTACCTCAGCGGCAAGCAAATTTTCTCAAAATGCCGTTACCTCCACAGATGCATCTCTGAGAGCCGATGTGCCTATTTCCACAGCGGCGTGTGTTTTTACTCGCTGACTTGTCTTGCCTACAACTTGGCCACTTGAGTGCCACACAGGTGAAACAAGTTATCATGCTCAGCAAATGTGAATCTCCATTGCCAACTGCGGATACGCAAAGGTATCTGTTTTGACTGAGAACCTGAGGGACTTTGGAATATGGGTTTTCATTTGCTTCCAGCAGCTGTCAATGGTGCCTGTGTGAACACTCAAGGCTCTGTTTCGAAATCTTTCTGTGCGTTGGAATTCCCCAGCACTAGCGAAAATCAAGTAGCGTAGCATGAAGTGCAAGTGAAGATCATGTCGGGTAGCCATAGACACGGTTGGTATTATCCCCACCCCACCCCACCCCACCCCAACTTCCTGAAATGAGCACGACTACACGTACGGTTTTTGACCCGGTGGCATAAATATCCGGATCCACCAACCAAATTATACTGTAGTTCGCGTTGTATTGCGGCTGAAGACGATGTCAAAGGGATTTCACACACTGGGCACTGGGCAAGGATCTCTGTCGGAGAAAGCGACGCAGCAAGCGCTTCTCGAGGAGAAAGCGTCATGGCTAACCGAATATGGGCTTGGCTGAGCAACAAGCAAAATGTAGTCATTTGATTCAATAAACTTTGGATAATTTTGGCTGCCAAAAATTGGAACCAAAGTCAGTTCTGTGTGTGTTTGCTTGTCAAATTCATAGAGGTTTTGTCGACATTTTACCAAGAGCATGAAGAGGCTGTTTCTTCGTATTGGATTACACAAGAATAGAATGAGTGTCAACTTGTGTGATTTCATTGTTCACATGCTAAAAGTGCCTTTCTGAGTCAATCAAAAACCTGTTCCTTTGGGCACATCATAGACTGAAAAGATTGCACAAGACATAGGTCTGCTGTTTAGTTTTGAGAGTTTTCAGTTTTCATGTCCTTGATCCCATCCCATCCCTTCTGTGTACTAAAATCTACTTGGCAGTCAGTTTCAGTGCGCAAGAGCCAAACAAAATGGCGTTGCAGCTTAAAATGTGGACAGGAACGACTGCGCAACAATTTTCAAGGTCTCAACCCACAAATGTTCCTAGTAGCAGTTTGCAAATGTAGATTGCAAGAAAGGACATGTCCATCCAGTTTGCAGATGTCAATCCTTTGCACGTAGACTCTGTGTATCAATGGGTTCCAGCTACCGCAAGAACGTGACACGCAATTTTTGAAGCAATGTCTGTGACACGAGTATGAAGCATACTGTGAAATGTCCAGAAGCGCCATGCCCTGATCCAGCAGGCACCTGGGAAGGTGTCAATTCATGGAATACACAATTGTTTCAGCCCTTCATTAGAAAATGGTTCCAAAAATCATCAAAAACAAACAAAATATATCATACAATATCCAAGGATATCCAAGGAATTTTGGCATCCCTTTTAACCACTCAAACTATGGACATGCTCTTTTAAAATCTACTTACTTTCCCCCAATAGAAAAGTAAAAACCTCAATATAAAAGACTGTTTCTTTCGATCTTAAAAGATGGACCCAAAAAACACCCCCAGGGTTGACTAGTTTTTATTACGAGAGGATGAAACCTTCAAATGGGACCTTCATGGTTAATTTGTTTTCGAAAGGGGATCAATAAAAAAACACAATTGGCCAGTCTGAAATTTCCCCAAATTTAAGGCGGACCCTATTTTTCAGTATTTGGGATACGTTTAGTAAAAGGGCGAAGGGATTGTGTTCCAGAACCCAATTTGAGGATGGCAGGGTTGGCGCCTTAAGATGAAAACACCTGACAACTGCGTCTCCGGCCTTCACGAATCTGTGCTGGATAAGCAGTGTTGTTTTTGTACGGTGTACCCCTTTAGCACTTAGCGCAGGGAAAAAAAGAAAAATCGATTTTTTTTTTTCTTTCTCTGCCCGAACGCATGTGTTGCACTTTTTTTTCTGCATACCTTTTCCCCGCGAAAAACGGGAAAAGTCGAAAAAAAAACTTTTTTTCTTTCTCTGCCCGAACGCATGTGTTGCACTTTTTTTTTCTGCATACCTTTTCCCCGCGAAAAACGGGAAAAGTCGAAAAATTTTCTTTTTTTCTTTCTCTGCCCGAACGCACGTGTGTTTTTTTTTGTTTCGGCATACCTTTTCCCCGCAAAAAACGGGAAAAATCGAAAAAAAATCTTTTTTTCTTCCTTTGCCCGGCCGGCTGCTTCGTTGGCTGGCTGGCTGGCTGGCTGGCTGTGCCTTCAATTGGCTAAGGTTTTGGCCGGCCTGCCGGCTGGCTGGCTGCTTGGCTAGTTGGCTGGCTGGCACGCTGACTCGGCTGGTGGGCCTAGCTAC